AGATGGGCTCCGTGTTGCTCCCTGATCTGTGTTCTCAGCTGGAGCTGCTGGTTTTCTTTAACACAGGCTGCTCCCCAAGTCCCTGACAGCCCGGGCAGCCTCCTGAGCTGACCCTCCCCTCCTAGCCAGTCCTCTCAGAAACCAAAGCCCTCCTTCCTAGGGACCCATCCCCCATGCTTCAGAGCCTCCATTTCCACCTTTCTCATGATTTGTAACCAAAGATCCCCTCATCACACGGTGCGCCCTGAGACCCTATCCCCTCATCTGTAACATCACACACTCATTGAGCACCTGCCACATCTGGGACATTCTCTGTACCTGGTGGTGACAAACCAGTCACCGAGCCCCATGGTCCTCGTTATTTAAAGGGAGGCGGCCCACAAGGCCACATCTCTAGAGAGAAAGACGCTAGGAATGAGCTTAACCCAGAGCAGACCCTCGTCCCTCTCCCAGAGCCTGGCCATAGCCCGGGAGGTCCGGAGCTTTGAGCAGGCAGCGGCTGAGCTCCAGGAATGGATGCAAGAGAAGGCCACCCAGATGGTGAGAGACATCTGTGACCATAGCCTGTCATCAGTGCAGACCTTGCAGCAACAGCACAGGGGCCTGGAGGTGAGGGCACCTGCCCCAAGGTCTCCCTGCGGGTGAGGGGGGGCCCCCAGAGGGGAGAAGGGAAGGCCTTCCTGGCCCGGGAGTGCTTACCCGGGGTGCATGTGGAACACAGTGGAGCTGGCTTGGGAAATCCTGGGAAAGAGGACCCCCCCCTCCACGCAGAGAGGCCGGGGTGCTCCCAGAATGAGGGGCATGCGTCAGGTTGCGTGGGGGGAGGCCTGATCAGGTATTCTGGTGGCAGCGGGACCTGGCAGCTGTGGAGAAGGAGGTGGCCCGGGTGCGAATGGAGGCCTGCCGGCTGGGCCAGCTTTACCCTGCAGCTCAGGAGGGCTTGTGCAAGCAGCTGGCCAGGGTGGAGGAGGCCTGGGCGACCCTGGACGTGAAGGCTCGGGAGCGGGGTCGGCAGCTGGAGCAGGCTGCCCAGGGCCATGCCTTCCTCAGTTGCTGTCGGGAACTGCTGTAGGTGACATCCCGCCCCGGTGTTGGCCCAGCTCTGCCCTGCTGGGTGGGGGTCACCCCAGCTCTTCTGGGAGCTGGTCTCCCCTTCCCCGGGCACGCCTCAGGCCCTGCCTCTTGAGGCTGCTCTCCCAGGCCTGACAGCAACTTCATCTCCTTGCCCCCAGAGCATGGGCTCAGGAGAAGCAAGCTCTGGTCTCTTCCAAGGAGCTGGCCGGGGACATGGTGGGGGCTGAGCGGCTCCTGGTGCAGCAGGTGGAGCTGGGGCAGGAACTCCAGGAGCCTTGCCTTCGCGCCCACGATGTACAGCAGGAAGGGCGGCAGCTGATAGACAGCGGCCACTTCATGTCTCTGGAGGTAGGAACACAAAAGGGATGGAACCCAACTACCCAAGGCCTTGGAACCCCTAGAAGAAATCTCAACCGTTAGGAGAAGGCAGGCAAGGAGCAGAGAGAGAGAGGCCAAGAAGGCAAGGGGAGGGTCTGAGCCTTCCCTGGAGCCCTCTGCTGGCCCCTCCAGGCCTTCCCTGCCTCAGTGCTTCCACTGGATCGTCTGACCCAGAGCATCCCTTCCCACCAGGTGGCAGCATGTCTGCGGGAGCTAGAAGGGCAGCTGCAGGCACTCACCAAGGCCTGCACCCTGCGCCAGGAGCGCTGCGAGGAGAACTGGGGCCTGCAGAAGCTACGGCAGGAGCTAGACCGGGCCGAGGCTTGGCTGGCCTCCCGGGAGGTTCTACTGCTGGACCCCAACTATGGGGTGAGCCCAGCAGCCCCCACCCCATTAGCCAGCTGCACCGACTGGCAGCTGTGGCCAAGGGCAGGTCCTGCTGTTCCTCAGCTCTCTACCCGCTAAACCGGGTTGCAGACCCCGAGGGGAGGCTCTTGGCACCCCCTGGAGCTGGGCCTCACCCTGGCTGGCTTCTCCCCAGCACACTGTGTCCGACGTGCAGCTGCTACTCTGCAGACACCAGGACTTAGAGAAGTTGCTGGCAGCCCAGGAAGAGAAGTTTGCCCAGCTGCAGAGGAAGGCAGGGGTGAGAGGACGCTGGGCGAGGGTCCACCAGCTGCTAGGGGCCTGAGGGCCGGGGGGGGGGTGGCGGGGCGGGAGTAAGCTGAGAATGGAGCCACCCCATGCCCCATGCCCCATGCACTGAGCCCATGGCTGACCCCTCGGAAAAACCCTATTCTTTGCCAGGCCAGCTGCAGGGCCCTGTTACCCTCCGACCCCGGGAAAGGCTGGAGCCCCACTGTGCACTAGAATGACAGGGAAGTGTCTTAAGCCAGCTAAAGCAGGAACAGATGAAAGAACCATGATGAGGCAGGGGTTCTCTCTAGGAGAAGGGATTCAGGGAAGAGAGGTGACCTGACCTGGCTCACCTCACTCCCCTCTCAAAGGTGGACCAGAAGCTGCTGCAGCAGGTGACAGGGTTGGAGCCCAGGAGTGCTGGCCACAGGCTCACATCCCCCAAGCAGAGGCCCTTTGGAAGCTGGTGGCCAGAAGTACAGCTGGCGGAGACAAGGGACCTACAGCCAGGTGTCCCCGTTGGATCACCCATACCCTCTGCCACCATGGTCTCCCTGGAACCTGTGGCCGGGCTGCAGGAGCCCAGTGGGGCTGGGGCCATGGGGGTAAGGCCCAGACCCTGCAGCCAGCACTGAGCCCCGGGGTGGGGGGCACTGGACCTAGGAGCCGAGAGTCCTCAGGAATGAAGTAATCAGGGGAAGATTGCTAGCCCACCTCTCAGAGGGGGCCTTCCTCTATTCCTGGGTGTTTCCTGGGCCCCATCTTGCCCTTTCAGGATGCTAAGGGTGCCCCCACCATGGAGGGATTTTTGGAGTTCCAGCAGCAGCTCTGGTCTGCTGAGAGGCAGGTAAGTATGAGAAGGTTCCTTCTCCAGGCAGCTCTCTTCCACAGAACAGCTTGGGCTCAGAAGGGCCACCAGGGCCTGGAGTCTTGACATGGTGGATAATCCCCCGCCCCCGTTCTTAAGACAGTTTCATTCTCTTTATTTAAGTAATCTCTATACCCAGCGTGGGGTTCAAATTCACAACCCAGCCCCGAGAGCAAGAGTCACACACACTATTGACTGAGCCAGCCCCGTGTCCCAGGACAGTTTCCTTCTTAAGCTACCCCAGAGCTGCCCCACCCTAGGCTGGAGGATGGGACCCTCCTCCTCCTCCTCCTCCTCCTCCTCTTCCTGGTTTCCCAGCACCTCATTCCCAGGCTCCCTTGGGCCAGTCCAGCACTTGGCCTAGGAGCCTCTGGTGACGCACAGGTCTTCGCAAGGCCAGGCTCCAGACTCCCCTCCATGCCCAGCTGGTACAACCTCCCCACCTTCTCTCCACAGCCCTGCTTGAGCCCCTGGGATGGCTGCCACGGGACCCTAGGGGGCAGCTCCCTCAGCCTCTTCTGGGACAAGAGGACAGCAGCAGAGGTACTGGGCAGTGGAAAACATGGAAGACAGAGGACAGGCCCACAGGGAAGAGCGGACATGGCTGTGGTGACCCCTCTCATGTCTTCTCAGAATATGGCCCCGGTGGCCACCCTTGACCTCAGAGGAGCCCAGTGCAAGAGGCCGGGGCACCAGCATGACAGGAAACACGCCTTCTTAAGGTGAGGGCCATGTAGAGGAGACAACAGCCCAGGGCCATACTGACCCAGCAGGCACAGCCTCTGAAGAGCAGCCCAGGGGCTGGAGGCAGGGGTCCCCTTATGGGTGGTCAAGAATTTTGACCCCTGGCTCCCTGGGTGACAGGCTGAGCAGCAGGGTGGAGACGCCCTGGGCAGCACCATCAGAAAGGGAGATTGAGAGCGCGATTCCAGCCCTGAGCAGCACAGCTGGTAAGCACTGGGGGAACCTGGGGAGGGACTTGGGGTACTGAGTCCCTGGGCCCCCGGCTGCTGTTTCAGGCATCCTCAGAAGTGTCACATCTAGTACCTCTCTACCTGGAGAGGTAAGTGGGACTTCATGTCTTCCCAGAGAACTGAAGGCCCAGAAGGGGTATACTACTTGCCAAAGATCACAGAGGGCAGGCCGGGCTTGCCCCCCTGGCTGCCTCCTGGCCCTGTCCCACCCCCCTCGGAATCTCTCGGACTCCCCTGCATGCTCCTAGGCTTTGTTCTGTGACCCTGGGACCTTCTCTAACCTTCCAGTCCTCAAAAAGCTCTGCAGGCCCTGCCCTTGGGGTGTCCTGTGGACAGTGGCCAAACCCAGCTCCAGCAGGAGGCATGCCTGGAACACACCCCTGCCCCCAGAAGTCTCTCGTCACTGTGGTCAGACGGGCTCCATCCAGAGACCGTGTGTTCAGGTCCTGTCCCCAGGCTGCTGTGAGCCCCGGGTGGGAGTCCCTCACCTGTTCCTCCCAGGCTCTCAGGTTTCCTGGCTACCTTCCTCACACTGTCTCTGGTCCCATGGGAGCTGAGCCTGCCCTTCCAGCATCCCAAAGGCCTCCTGAGTGTCTTCAGGGTCTTCTCTAGACTGAGCCTTTCTGAGCCCGTCTGCATTCAGCCTTCTGAGAGGCAGGGTGCGCAGGGCACCGCATGGGCAAGGCTTGACGCGTGCCTGGCCTCCTGTAGCAGGCACGTCAGTCCATTTGAGCTGCTTTTAAAATCACAGACTAGGTAGGTAACAGACCAGAACCATTTATTTCTTACAGTTCTAGAGACTGGGAAGTCCACCATCAAGGTGCCACCAGATTCAGGGTCTGGTAAGAGCTGTCTTCCAGGTCATGAGGGGAGCCCTCTGTCTCACTTGGTGGAAGGGGCTAGGTTGTTCTCTGGGGTTTCTGTAAGGGCTCCCCTCTCATCACCTAATCACCTCCCAATATCATCCCCTTAGCGTTAGCATTTCCATATAGGACTCGGGGGGGGGGGGGGGACACAAACATGCAGGGAGTCTGCTAACTACAGAAGGCCTAGCACAGGGGCCAGGACTGACCACTGATCTCCCTTTGCTCTGCAGCCTGCAGCCTGAGCCTGGAGCACCCAGCCAGACCAGGGGGCTTCCCTGATGAGCACACTGCTGAGGGCGTGCCCGGCCCGGCCGCCCCACTCAGGTAGGGCAACTGTGGGTGTGTGTGGGGGGTGGTCCTGAGCCCCATGATTGGCACAGCTGCATCCCTCTTAAGCCCAAGATCTGGAGACTCAGATCTGCTAGGGTATAGGGTAACCCCCGTATTTGAGACCCTCAGCAATAGAAAATCCTAGCACCCACCCTCCCAATTGGGTACGAGCCTCTGCTCAGAATCCAGGCCCTGAGGGTCCTTTTCCTCACAGATTCCACGCCTGTCCCCGGACTTCATCACTGAGGGAGATGCCCATGAGCATTCACAGCCAGCCACAACCCCTGGAGTTCCTGCAGGCTGAGGGCCCTGCCCAGGCACCTGCCTCCAGCTCACCCTCCCTTCCCTGCCCTGGCCAGGCTCAAGGTAAGGATACCCTGGGCGTCCACCCCTGGCTCATTTCTTGGCCTCCTCTTCCTGTCCAAGACAGATGGGTTGCCGGCTAGCCATATCTGGCCTGCACTCTGCCCTCTCTCCGGCTCTTCCCTGTTCCAACAGGAAAGGGGAACCTTACTATCCTTGAGCAGGCCAGAAGTCAGGCTGTCACCCCTCACACAGACTCCCGCAGAGACAGACACCCCAGGTCAGGCCCGAGGAGCGTTTCCAGCATCTCAGAAGGCAGCCATGGCTGTGGTCTCTGGTACACAGGCTCCACTTTCAAATCCAGAGAACATGTTGCTGAATGAATAGGCTTTGTCCCGGGATGGTGGCTTCTAAGGCTCCCAGAGCCCCCATTTTTTTCCACTGTGACACTAGCTACATGCCCTAGGCAGGGCCCAAGCATCAGTGGGCCAGAGCAAACAGAGGGAGTTGGGTCACAAGAACCTGTTCTCTCCCCTCCTACCCTCTGCACACTACGTACGGTCAGTCCTGCAGCTGCCTGTCAGCCACAACCCCAGCACCAGCAGGAGGTGGAATGTTCTAAGGGAGGCCAAGCCCTAAGTTCACTCTGCCTTCCTGTTCCCCCAACAGGTCACGACCCTGAACTAAACCCTGAGGTGGCAGCAAACCTCAGGGCTACCAACAAGGACAACCTCTAGGAGACCAGCCGTTCCTTGTTAAGAGGCAGCCCTCAGCCAAGACCACACAGCTTGCTGTAGGAGGTCACTCTCTCGTTCCTGTGAAGCAGCCGTCTGACGGAGGGGGGGGGGGGGGCGGCGGGGAGGACAGGGGTGCCAGCTGCCACTGCCTGTGTGTCCACTCACCTGCACAGGGCCAGGGTTCCCACAGCAGAACCCCCCGGGCCAAACAGGCCTCCCCACTGCTTAGAAAGGGTGGCCCCAACAGGGCACATGTGGTCTTCTCCTCAGGCGAAGTCCAGATGCACCTATTCGCTAGCTCTGGATGGGGTCTGGCAAGAGCTTTTTCAAAACCAGTCCTTGTTACGTGTAACCATGAGCCTGGCATGATGTCACCTGTTCCCACCTCACATTTGTATGAGCCTCTGTGATATATAAACCGCTCTATTTTACACAGTACAGTTACTCAAGGGAGCAAGGGGAGAGGGGCCCAGGGCTTTGAGCGCTTCCACAACTAGGATCCCATTGTCCCCCATGTCTACCTCGGGTGACCACAGGCTCTCTAAACGTTCTCTTTGCTTGAAGAGGGAGCCATCTCTGGCCTGAGGAGACCAGGCCCAGCCCTTCTAAGCCGCTCAGGCTCCCGGCCCGTGTAGGGGACAAGGCTGCTGGTGGCTGTGGGGCCCTGTCAGGGTGGTGCTGGGCACATGGCCTGGCAAAGCCCCTCAGACGGCAAGGGGGCCGTGGCTAGGCCCTCTAGGCCCCAGGGGCTCTGGAACCCTGGGTAAGGAGTGTCTGCCCCAATTCTTCCTGTCCACCAGGGTCTCCTGGGTGCGAGTCTGAGGGGCCCGAGGGGGGGCGGGGGGGAGCCCTGAGCCCGCCCCCCACCCCGCACCCTCACTGGGGTTGGTGGTGCCGGCGCTGTCGCCTCCGCAGCATGGCGCCCCGCAGGGCCTCCAGCAGCTGCTCCCGGTTGTTGCAGATGTTGTAGTGGGTCAGGCGGAGCAGCTTGTCTGCGTCCTCCAGGCTGTAGGTCAGCTTCGAGTAGTGGTAGGGAGAGTCGGAGGGAGACAGGTTCACCTCCCCAGCCGCCTTCTCTGCTGGGGTCCGTGGGATGCCTGGGGGAGGTTGTGGAGCTGAGGCTGGGGGTCCCCCTGGGAGAGGCATGAAGGCCAGGCCGGGGGGACAAGGGGCTGGGGGCTCACCTGGGGCCGAATACTCCCGGAAGGAGTCGTCCACCAGAGGGAAGTGCAGCACTGCCGGGGCGTCGGGGCAGTCTGGGTCTAGGAACAAGTGGCACTCGCAAGGCTGGTGCTGTTCCTCAGAGCTGGGCGAGATGGGCGGGAATGGGATGCCCTGCTCCCCACACAGCCGGCCCAGAAGCTGCAGCTGCTGCACGGCAGGAAGAAGGGGGTCAGAGGGCGGGTCCTGTGGGACTCCCCAGTGTCTCCAAGGCCGGGCCAGCTGAACGGGGAGGTCAGGTGAGACCCCTGGGACTAGGTGCCCAGATGCCAAATCCAACCCAGGCAGACCCCCAAGACCAGGCCAGACTTTGGAAAGTGCTTGAACACTGAGCTCCACTGCAAGGGGCTGCTAACAACTCCCAGAAACTTTACTGGATGAATGAAAACTGACATCAGAGGGTTCCCGAGGTTCAGGACCAAAATGGTGGGTGGCAGGGGACCCAAAGTGGTCCCAAAGGTAAGATACACTTAAAAACCTCTCCCTGTCACTCTAACTTCCTCTGGTGGTAAAATCATAGGATCCAGAATTCACGGGACGCCATTCACATGGTGTCTCCATCTCAGCCCCTAAGGGAACTAGGACCAGATATTGGACTTTAAGGTAGATGTCCCTGGAGGCAGGGGCCAGAATGTCAGGCCAGGCCCGTTGTCACCACTCCCTCCCACACCTGCCCCCCAGCCCACCTGAAAGGCTCCTTCGAGGTTGTAATCCAGCGACAGGACGAGGTCCACATCCCGTGTGGGCCGCAGAAGGGGTGGGAAGCTGGTGTTGATAAGGTAGCCAACATCCAGCAGACAAAGGTGAGGTTCAGCAGGTGTCAGCTGGTTGGGGAACCCATCCAGTTTGGTGGCTGGAATGATTAAGGGGATGGGGTGGAAAAGCAGCTGTCACTGGTGCTAAGGGCACCAGACCCCTTTGAGCCTAATGCTAGCTCTCTGCTGCTGGTAGAAGCCGACTCTGTCCTCTGGTCCCTGAGCTTTCCTGCCGGAGTCGCCCTGCCACTTCCCAAGACCAGCAACCCCAGAGGGGCCCTGGTTCCCAAAATAAGGAGAGGAAAAAAGCTTGCTGGTCTAGGCAGCCCAGCGAACTAAGCTCAAGAAGCTTGCAGCTCAGGGGTCGGAGGGTGTCGATGTCTGGACCAGAGAGTCAAGGCCCAGGTGGCCATGGGCAGACCTTGGAGAGCTGGGACCAGGGAGAGAAGATACCTTTCCAGGTGGAAAAGTAAGGATCATGGAAATAGTCCTTATGGAAATGGAGGCCACGCAGGAAATTATGGGTGGCCTGGGCCAGTGGGCGCCGTGTCAGAAGGTCAGTGAAAAACTCTGCAATCCTTCCGGTCCCCGTGGGAGGCTCTTCTATCTTCAGAAGAGGGACCTGCTCCTTGTCTGCAGTCAAGAAAGGGGAAAGTGGAACGTCTTTTAGGAAATGGGGACCCCTGAAATTTTACCCCAGTTTCCATGGACTCCCAAAGGCCAGCCCACCATGCCCCCGCCACCCCAGTGGCTGCGTCTCCAGCTCCTTCCAAGAAGCCCAGGCACCTACCCCGGCTGGCCTGATCCTGTGCCCAGCGGTCCCAGAACTGGCTAGGCTCTGAGGCCCAGTATAAGCTGTCCTGGAGGTTGGCTGCATACAGATTGCTCCAGATACCTGAGAGAGGGACACAAGGGCGACAGTCCCCCTCCCCATCACAACCTAGACCAGGAAACGGCCCCGTGACTGAGCCGAGAGGTGGAGGCTTGCCATCTGCCCTGGGCCCCTCTCCCCACTACCCCAGCTTCCCAAACCTGCCAGGCCCCACCCTCACCTTCGAGAAAGCAGATTCGGGACTCAGGAAGCCGCTTGGTCAGGCGCCCCATGAAGAACTCAGAGCCGAAGAGCTCAGAAGGGATGAAGGCACCATACTTGGGAAAGCCAACCTCATATGGGGAGAACTCGCACCACTCTGTGGGAGATGACACAGCCTCACCGTGGGGATCAGAACCCCCGCACCCTCCCAACACCACAGCCTTCACATCGGGGCAGCCTGGTGACCCAGAGGCTCAGACTGGTTGCAAGCACCCTGCGCATGAGTGACTCTGGTAGGATGACAGTCTCTGGCAAGCGTGAGACCTGGCCCTGAAGGGGGCGATCGAAACACCCACCTTCTACACACAGGCCCAGCTGCCCCCCCACACACACACCCTGCTGGCCACAAGGGCGCCACTCTCACTGCTCACCTCCAAATTCAAAGGTGGTCAGGCCCTTCTCCTTGGTGTTAAGGGCACAGTAGATGGGCAGAGGGTTCTGGCCTCGACTCAGGGCCTCCCGCTGGTCTGAGAGTGTGCGGTCACAGGGCTGGTGGAAGGAGAGGATTCGAGCCTCAAGCTGTGGCTTTCTGGGGCCCGAGACCTTTGCCCGCCCTGCTGCCCGGGGCCGCTTCCCATCTCCCAGCTGTGCCCTGGCCATGCCCCTCCACGCACCTCCTCGTGCAGCAGGCCCTCACTGATGAGGGCCCACAGGTTGGTGAAGCAGGGCGGGTGGCCCAGGCGGGCCCGCTCAGCCAGTTCCTGCTGGTACCGCTGCAGCTGGCTGGGGGCAAGCACACCCAACTTGCTCTTGGTCACCTGTGTCTTCAGGGACTCGGTGGGTCCCGCCAGGTCCTTCTGAGACCATTCTGGGTCCTCATAGAGGTTGGTCAAAGCCCTGGGAAAAGCCAAAGCCAGGGGGTCACTGCACACCGTGCACTCTCTATCCCAGTCCAGCAGGCACCTTCCAACAGTCCCGCTACGCGGGTCTCCCTCCAGCACATCCTTTCTCCCTTCTCTCCCAGCTGGGTCAGAGACACCCGTGGGGTCTAGAAGAGCCCCCCCACCCCCCAACTCCTGCACTGCACCTGCCGCCAGCTCACCAGGTGGAGCCCGAGGCCCCTGTGATGTAGCAGACACAATCCAAGAGCCCCAGTTCCCTCAGTCCAGCCAGCTGCCCGTAGAGGGACAACATTGCCCGGATCCCACCGCCGGTGGCCATGACAGCGACCACAGGGACCTGGAAGAGAGCATGGCCAGGCCAGTCAAGACCTGAGCCAGGCTCTTGGAACCAGTTCTGGTCAGGCAGGCCTGCTGAGGAGGATCTAATCAGAAGTAGCCTCTCAAGGATTGGATTTATCTGGTTTTAAGAACTCCAGTACAACTAGACAAGTTCCAGGCCTCATTTCCTCACCCCTAGCCCCTGAGGAGTCTGGTGACCACTTTGTGGAAGCCCCACAGCCACCTCAAAAGTCTCCCACACAGCCACCCCTTTCCCTCTTGACAGGAGATGCCCCAAGCTGATGTGAGCCTCCAGGGGCTCCCCCAGGCCCACATGCAGCCCTCAGGCTGCATGTCCCACTGATTGGGCAGATTAGACCCAAGTCCCAAAACCTGGACCAGGCGGAGAATCAAGAAACAAGGAGAAGGAAAGCAGTTTACAGCTCCAGGTGCCCGATGCGATGCTCTGCTGCGTTGATAGGGAAGCAACACAGGGGCAGGCACACAGGTGGGCCGAGCTCTGCTCTGCTAAAGAAACAAGCCCTTGGCTCTGCGCCCGCCCAGCCTGCCCAGTACACATGGCCCACAGACCTCGTCTTCCTGCAGGTCATCATCTAGCTGCAGGGCCTGCTTTAGGGCTCTGGCCACCAGCTGCTTCCTCCTGCTCAGGAAGGCCTGCTCCTCCGCACAGAGGCCACAGCCCAGCCGCACCGTCAGCTCCCTCGGTCTAGGGGGGTAGGGAAGGGGCTAGGAGGCAGCTCCTCGCCTTGTCACAGACAAGGAAGCCCGGTCTGCCTCCCCTGAGAAACCCACTGCCAACTCTCACCCCTCTCCCCAGCCCTCACCCCTGCCTGGCCTGAAGCATGAGGTGTATGGCTGTGAGGGGGAAAAGGTGGACCCGGACCCCCACAGGACCACAGGAAGGCAACAAAGTGGATTCGCAGGACCAGAAATGCTGGGGTTCCAGGCTGCATGGAGGCCCCTGGGTGGGTCCCACCACCACAGATCTACTCCCCCCACCCTGAGCTTTGCTCCCTTGCCCACCCAAAAATGACTCCCAAGAGATAAGAAACAGTGCTCCCACCTCTTCAAGGTGAAAAGCTAGTCTTCCAGGCGTGTGAGGAAGGGCCCAGGTTGGGGGACTCCTCTTGTCTCATGAAGGTTAGCTAAGGTCCACCCACAACAGCTGCCACCCAAAGGGAGCGTGATTTCTCTCCTCTGGCAGCTCCCTTGCGCCCTCTCTGCCTCAGTCTCAAGCTTAGGTAACCCCCCCACACCACCCCCCCCTTCTCCCAGCCGGTTCTCACCCTTCTTTTCTCAGCTCCACCCTCATCAGGGGCTCCTGGAAACCATAAACACCAGTCACTAAAGTCGGCCACCATGTTTCTTTCACCCCAGCCCAAGTCACACCCTCTGATGCCCCCTGTGTTCCCTTAGGCCTCCGGCCATCTCCACAGGGGCAAGGCCTGAGGCTTGAAGGCAGGGCTGCTCAGAAGACCCCTCTCCCCAGAGCCTGGCCCAAAGCCCGCAGCTCCTACTACAGTGGGCCAGCCCCGCAAGCCTAGGGCCCGGCCCATGCTCCTGGCATTCTTCCTCTGGTGATCAAGTACCTGGGATGTAGGGAAGACAAGCCTCACTACTTGGCCGGAGGGCAAGGCGCTTAGGGGCACCTTCAGTTGCTCTCGAGGGGCACCCTGCAGGGGAGATGAAAGAAGACCTCAGAAGACCCTTTGGTTCCAGCAAGGACCTCGCCCATTGCCCCCAGGGAGTAACAAAGCAGCTGGAAGAGGGGGAGGAGGCCATCGACCCCACCCTCTTCTCAGGATGCCTGATTCTGCTAGAGAGTGATGGGGCAAGGGGCTCAGCACGAGCAGAGGGGCCGCTAGGAGCAAGCAGGGAGGGAAGGCGGGAGGAAGACCTGGCAGGCCCTGCCCCATATGAGGGAGTCACACACTACCTGCAGAAGGATACCCAGCTCCTGCTCCCAGCAGGCCGGGCAATGGAAGCAGACGGGGCCAGCACCTACGGAGGCCTCCTGTTGACCCTCACAGGACCCAGGAACCACAAGCTGAACTCTGCCCTCAGACTCTGGAAACAGGAACCAGAGCAGAGACGCTGCAAGTGAGATCTTGGCCCTCAGAGGCCCAAGGCTGTCTCGCGTAAGGGGCCTGAGGGCCACTTCCATCCCCCCACCGCAAGGGAAGACTGGCACAGGACTAGGCTGGGTGATGGGCCCCCCACCATACCCCCTCTGCGGAGTAAGGGACACACTCAAGTCCTGGAGAGCCCCAGCATGGATCTGCCCCTCACCTCTACTGCTGTCTATGAGAGCTGAGGGCAGCTAATGGAAGGTCCCTTCCAGGGTCCTCTTAGAAAGGGGAAGACAAGGACAGAGGGCTGGGGGCTATCCTAGTAGGTAGAGACTTACGTTTCTGATCCCCTGTCTCCTCCAGTCGAACATGCAAGCAGGAGAGCTCCCGGGCCTGAGTCATTAAGAAAGCCCCTTAGACTCGAACCCCTCCCTGCTAGAGGCCCCCACCCTCCCAGTACCCTGGTTTTGGTCCTCAGCACCTTATTACATTGGCCCCGAGTCACCAAACATGTGCTTGAGCTTGTAGTCTCTTGAAGAACTGAAATCCCACGGCCTCCCCAATTCAGCTAAACCCCTGAGTCCCCAATGGGGGCCCAAGCTTCGGGCCCAGGAAAAAGGGCCTGAGGGAGGGGTTCTGCACTCACCACCAGGATGCCATTACTGACGAGCTGCTCAGCACAGTCTGTCCTGGAAAGAGCCCCCAATGACCCTCAGCGTAAGCCCAGCTTTCCAGGTTCTCACCCTTCAAGGAGGACAAGACATCCCTCCACCATCACTGGAGGTCTCCCAGGGAAAGGTGTCAGCTCTGCGTGTGCTGGGCTCTGTCCTTCCCCCAAAAGAAACACTCCCACCCAGGAATCACCCCAACGCTCCTGACTCACAGTCTCTGCAGCCGAAATTCAACTTCTAGCCGCTCCTCACCCTGGAGAAATAAAGGGGCAAGTTAGAAAGGGAGAGGAGCGTGTATATAGATTTTAATGCAGATGCCAGTTGGGGCTCCTCGGACCCCAAAGGTGGGGAGAACCAATATCCATCTCCAGGTTGCTCTGTCCACCTTCTCTGGGGGGCTCCTAGAAAGCTGTTCTTGGCTTAAGAGCCAAGAAAGAGGGCTGGAAATGGGACTGTTCCTCAGTGACAGCAGGTCCTGGCTGACTATGGCCTTTGAGATGCCAGGGAGCCTAGACCACTCACTGGAGAAGAGGGCCATGTGCCCAGCTCTCCTCCAAATCAGCTCTCCTTCCTGGGCGGAACCCCACCGCTACCCTGTACACAGCCTTGCCTGAGGGTTCAGTGAGAAGCTCTCTCGGCGAAAGTCCCCAGCCTGCAAAGTCCCCAAGTCAAACAGCACTGACAACATGGGGTCATCACTGGTCAGAAGGTCCTGGTCAAAGACTTGCAGCTGCAAGACATTCTGGAAAGGAAGAGAGTGGGCAGCTGCAGGAAGGAGGAGTGGAGTAGGAAGGTGAGCAGGTCAGAGCGTGGAATGAGGGCTGGCAGGGACAGTGGGCCCACCTTGAGCTGGCTGTGGATTCGAAAGCGAAAGCTCTGATTCCAGATGGGGTTTCTGCTGTTCTTGACCGTGCGTGTCTGGAGCCTGTGGCTAGAGGCTGTGGGCAGCCACAGACTCACATAGCAGTCAGAGGGGGTCACTGTGGGAAGGGGGAACAAGTGCCTGCTAATGGCCAAGAGTCCAACCCAGCCCAGCTGCCCAGAGTCCATGACCTTCCATCACAAGCAGCCCCCGGAGGCCAAGACCCATGGAATGGGGCTGGGTCAGGAGACAGGAGGAGAGGCTGAGGGCCTACCTGACATTCGACCCAGTACCTCCTCTTGGCACCCTCTCTTGGACTTCCTGCACCCCCAGCCCTGGAGTCTTCCCACTGGCCCTGTCCCACTGTGAACCCAGCTACAATGCCACTGTCCTCCCTGGGCCCAACACTCACCTAGATCCTTCGAGGGCAGGCCATGGGCCTGCAGGACACGAACGGTGAGCAAGCAGGTCCCAGGAATCTTTGCCTGCAGAGTGGGGAGAGGACAGGCTTGCTGCAGGCTGCTGTGCCCGAAGGAGACGAGGGTCAAAAAAGAGGCCAGGGTGACCCCTCCAAGACTAATCATGACCCAAAGGGACTGGCCCTGCCCAGCCACACGGCTGCTCTGCACCCCATCAGAGCCCTGAAAGGGAAGGCGGCTATGGTAGCAGCTACGTACCAACACTTACACATCACTCGGGGCCAGTGCTGGTCCAAGGGCTTTATGTACACTCATTTGTTTAATCACACAACCGCCCTACGTGTAGGGACTACTTATTATAACCAGTCCCACAAGGAAACAGAAGCACAGAAAGGCTAGTCACTTGCGTGAGGTCCAGGGCCAGGATATACCAGGCTGGCTCAACTCAAGCTCTCTATCCCACACTCACCTGCTTCCAGTTCCTGCTATAGTGTCTTCCAGTCTTTTGACCCCACAGCTAACACATCCCAGCTAACCCCTACTAAGTGGCCTGGAGGCTGGCCTTGGGTAGCAGGAGGCCTGGGGGAATAGAAGGCTCCAGAGAGAGGGGAAGAAGCATGTTAAGACCCAGCCTGGCCTTGGGCCCCCTAGTGGGGCCGCTCCCCTAGTTAAGAGCTAAATGGAGGCATGCTCCAGGTAAGCAAACCCTCTCTTTGGAGAAACAGAAATGAAGAACACAGACTTGGTTTTCAGACAGCCTCTCCACCCCTGGCCAGGAATCATTTCTCGAAATGGACCCTCTGCTTGAGTAGGAACAGCAGTTAGCAGCTCCCACCTCCCACAGGTTTTCAAGTCCTCCGGGGGCTACAGGGTTGGGCGAAAGAGGGTCCCCAGGTGGGTCCATCCAAACCCATGAACGTGGATCTGAGGATATAAACCGCGGCAAGTGTGCCAGGGAAGCCTGTACTGGCTATTCCTTTTGGCCTCAGAAGGGTCCTGAAGGATGCAGTCCAGGAGCAGAGCTGGGGAAACACATCTGTCAGTGTCCACCCTGGAGCCTCCACGGTCCAAGCCTGGGAGAACCCACTTCCTGGGAGCCTGGGTTCTCAGGGCCCAAACCCACAGGGCCAGGGAACTTTGCCTGGAGCCCATCGCTAGGGCAGGACACCTTCCTCCGACACCAGCATCCCCCACCAACTCCCTTCTCCACACCCGGAGACACCCACAGCTCCCAGTAAGAAATAGCATTAAGGCTGGAGTCACCTGGGTGACTCAGTTAAGCATCCAACTCTTTATTTCAGCTCAGGTGAGGACCAGCCACAGGCCCCCACACGTCGGGCCCCTCGCATCAGGTTCCGAGCTCAGTGGGGAGTCAGCTGGAGATTCTCTCCTTCTGCACCCTCTCCACCCCCGGCTCCACATGCGTGCTCGCTCTCAAGTCAACAAATCTTTAAAAATTATAAATAAATAAATAAATAAAAATTAAAGAAGAAATAGTATTAACCAGTCCCCAGGAGGACCAAGGGTCAGAGTAGGGGCCTAGCGCCCTAGCAGGTCTTACCAGAGCCATAAGGCTGGCTGTTCTCAAGGGCCACAAATGGCAGGCAGTGGATGCAGGACCAAGGACTGCTGGCTTTTTAACCCAGAGCCAGTGATGTACCAGCTGGCCCCAAGCTCCTCCCTGATCCCTCCCAACTGCTTCCACTCCACCCAAGCCTCACACCCATTCCAGGACAAGCCACCCGCCAAGGAAACGAGGGACCTTAAACTTATGCGGACTCAGACACCCCCGTGATGGGGGGCCTACCACCCATGAAGACCCGTTCCCTCCAGCCATCGCAATCAGCGCCAACCCCACCCACCCCTGCTCTCGTGCCCGCACCTAGAAGGGCCACTGACGTCTAGAAAGCAGGGAGCGGGCCCAGGGCAGCAGCAAGTGGAAGAGCCTCGTCCCCTGTCACAGGGTCTTTCACAACCTTCAGTGCCAGTAGGACAGGAATGCCCGGTCCTGACTGAAGCACTTGGCCAACCTCAGTGCCTCAGGCCCGTCACAACCCAGAAGGGGTGTGGTTTACTCCATGCAGCCTTCCCAAGCCGTGCATGGCTGCCTCCGCCCTTGGAGCCGGGTGGCCAGGATGATGAGGCCTCTGGGTGGCATTCAGGGATGGGGCCTCTTCCAGGTCTGGGTGGCTGCAGGGAGGGAGGGGGTCTGAGTGCAGGGACCCCTGTGGAGGTGGGGAGCAGGGGTTTCTGTCCCCTACCTGTCCTTGTTGTGGGAGAAGCAGGAGTGTCCCTGGGGGCTCCAAACCCCACCAGCTGCCCTGGAGCCGGAGGACAGCCAACAAGGCAGAGTAAAGCTCAGCGCAGATTCACGGGCCGAGTCAGTGAGGTGTGCTCGCCCTGAGAGTGGTTGTGATGGCTATCACGAAGAGAGGGGTCTTGGGAGCTGAGAGCCCCTCAGGCTCAGGTCTGAAACCCGCCCTCAGCCACCATCCGAGTAACCCTGAAATGTTTACCTGAACCTTCCAGCCCTCACCAGACCATGGAAGGAACCTTCGAGAGGGAGTCTCAGTACATGTAAATCAGTCATCTTTTATTGCGCATTTCCCTCCATGCCAGCCCTTATGGTCCCTAAGGCGCTCTCTCTGAGCCTCCCAACACCCCGTGGGGGAAGGAAGCAACCTTCTGTCTTACAGACAGGATACCAGTGCTCCGAGGCGATCAGCTGCCCAAGGCCACGGGGCCAGCGAGAGGTGGCACCACACCTGAAGCCCCACGCCTCCCCCCGGGACAAGCTGCTGCCTCACCTGTGTGGCAACTTCCTGGGAGCCCACACCCAGACCTGTCTGGCACCTCCTGGACCTCCAGGTCACTTCCCCAAGTCCTCCATCACTGATCCCAAGCTGAGCTAGGCCAGCAGCCAGCACACTGACTCTGGGTTGCCTCTGGAAGTGACCTGGCCAGGGAGGGACATGACCTTTTCCCCCAGTTGGCAATGTAGGCAGTGTTCAGCAGGGCTCCATCAGTCGAGGCCCGAGGCCTTAGTAAGGGAGTCAAGCAGCTGGAAGTAACTGTACTTAAGGTCATACTCCATGTCATACCAGTAGTTCACTGTGGACAAAATGGAGACCCTCGCACAAAGGTCCCCCTCTGAACTACCTGCCACCCCGACCCACCGCCCAGCTGCCCTGCTGGGCCAGCTCCTCACCCGCAATGCAGCCGTGGGACTGCTGCACATGGTGGAACCACAGGGCCGGCAGGTAGAGCATCTCACCGGCCTGCACTGTGCAGCAAAGGGCCCGGGCCTGACTGTAACTGGGGTACCGGGCCAGATTCGGAGCCAGCGGGTCCAGTGGGATCCAGGGTACCTGGGGACACAACGGATGTCAGGGAGCAGGTTCAAAGCCCCCAGGCCCTGTAGCTCTGTCCCGTCCAAAGGTAAAGCCCACGAGCCCAGCCCTGTTCAGCACTGGGAGGGCCCGACTTAGGGATCTTTCAGAGTCAGATGCCATCTCCCCAGCTCCATTGTGCCTGCTCCTCAGAGACCAGTCTCCGACCCTTCCCTCTCCCCAGGGCCCAGGAACAAGGCAGACACCTTCTCCATGGCTTCTTCATCCACTATCTCAAAGGAGTCCTCTTCAGTTAGCTGGTAGGTCGCTGGTGTGTACAGCTCTGAAACCAGAGAAAGGTGTGGGGACACTCAAATGGCTGCGGCTTCTCAGTTCCTCCCACTTGCTCCCTGAGTACAACTGAAACACGGCATCCACACCTCAGGCCTGGCCCACCAGCCCGCCCACGGCCCTCACTGGCCTCCCTCTACCTTGGCCCCCGGCTCTCCAGCCCCTGCAGGTGGAGTCCCATACCATAGGGGATGAAGGGCCGGTCGCTGGGTGGGTGTAGCAGGAAGCGTTTCTCCCCTGAGACCACACAGTAGAGGTTCTCGTAGTGGTCCTTATGTACTGCCAATGCAAAGAAGGCCCAGTGGGCAAGGTTATGAGGGTCAGGGCACAGGAGGAGCCAAATAATCACATTCAGGGCCCTGCCCCCAAGACAGATGTGACAGATGGTCTAAAAGAAGAGCACAAGGGAGGCTCAAGGGGATGGTGAGGATCTGGGCAAGCATTCGGGTTTCAGATCTCGGCACACCAGGGACCTGATGCTCACCGGGGCTCATCTCTACCAAGAGGGGAATTCAAGCAAACAGGGCTCTTCTGAGTTCACCCCTGACCTATCTGGCCTTTGGTGGGCTTTCTAGAGACCTAGAAGAAACCATGCCCTCTGCTGCCCGTGCCATGGGACCTTCCCCGGCCTGAGCTATCGGGAGGCCCTCTGTCGTGTCGAAACCCCAGAATCCGGGTAGAAATCCTGGAGAGAATAGTCAGTCTAACTTCCATCCAGACCCAACCTTCCACTCTTGGCCTCCTCTTCCCTCCTCCCCCACCTCTGTATCCCTTTGACACCTACAAGACGTCACTGCAGCTGCCTCCCCCAGCCAGAAGTTCACAGCATCAGGCATCTTTCCTGCAGGTTGGAGGTAAGAGAGCGAGTTAGGAGGGGCTGTCCTCCAAGGCCAGGCTGGGAATAACCACCATACGGTGATACTGGCCCAGAGCCTGGAGGGGGGACCAGAGACTCAGAGGGAGAAAACAGAGGAGGGTGAGTTCCAAGAGGGGCCTCCTCCCCTGGGGCACAAAGGAGGATAGCAATGTTCAGTTGTTCAATTCAAAGTCACGGCCTGGAGACTTGGGTGTTTAGTGCACAGAACCCAACCCTGAGGGACCAAGAGTGTGGGCCAAGTCATCACCCAAGGGAGAGGCTGCATGCTGAGCTGACTCCTTCCTCCCCATTTCTTCCCTACCTGGCCGACATCTTCACTCACCCAGTGCCTCGGAGGCCCATGGCACATGGGACTCGAGATCAGGCAGCAGCTGGGGCAGCTCGTTGGGCAGGTTGGAGCACTGCTTCTGCACGTAGAGGACCCCCGGGTGTCGGGCCTGGCCCTCTAGCACATCCAACACGCGGCTCAGGGGCAGGCGGCGCTCGGCTGGCATCACAAAGCGGTCCCCTCGGACGGCATCGGCATAGCCATCGGGGGTCACAGCCACGCTCACCTCTGTGGAGCCCACTGTGGCTCTGGAGGAGAGGACTTTCAGCTGCACCCAAATACCACCAAGTACCACCCAACACCCCCTAGGGCAGCCCCCACCTGAGATAGGGGAAGGACCACTTCCGCAGAGCTGGCCAGTGCTGCAGGGCATTACGGATGATGCAGGGCCTGTTGGGGCAGACCCAGTCGCGGTAGAAGTGGAGCGGAGTCGGGGGCTCGTCCAGGTAGGGCACGGCAGGAGGCACGCTGAGCTCTGAGAAAAAGAGGTGGAGGGGGGCTGAAGACGAGAGCACCCAGCTACTGCCCCTGCCTCTGCGGGGCACACTGTCACCACTGGATGATGCCCATCGATGACCAAGGGACCCTGTACAACCAGGAACTGATGAAAGAGGGAACTTTAAGGGAGAAAGTGTGAAGCACCCACAAACACACCAAGATGCAGCCCTCAGAGTCCACAGAGCCGGAGGCTGCTGCTCAGCCCCAAACCCAAACCTCCTCGAGACCACGTCCAGCCCCATATAGTGACCCCTCAGCTTTCCCATTCTGCAGTGCCCAACCCCCACGCAGCCATGAGGGCAGGCAGCCATTTCAGGTGGTGCAGGGAGCTCCAGAATGAGCAGAGCTGAGGCCCCAAGGCCACAGACTGGTGTGGGTGAGTAGAGACTCTGGAAAGCACCCTCCCCGCCAAGTGATATATTCACTGAGCACCTAGAATGTACTCAGTGCTTGGTTTGGCCTATGTGGAGGTATCAAGGGAGGATCCTACTGTCATCCCAAGAAGATTACAACCCAACTGGGGAAACAGGCTGCCCCACGAAACCCTAAGAGGAAGAGTTAAGGGCTGAACTGTGTTTCTGATCTTACCCAACGGCATCACCACCCTCGGACACCCCACGCTACCTTGTGCATTTAGGCAGGTCGAGCAGGACGCCACCTGCGCAGATGTCTCTAGTGGCCCTGCGTCACTTCTCACAGACCTGCTCTTCTCGGCTCTTCCTTCTCCCTCACTCTGGTCACCCTACAGGTGGTCCTGAAGTTCTACTGATGCCAACTCCTCTGTCTCTCCAACCACCCCCACCTCCCCTCTGCTGCTATCTACATTCAGACCACCTCCTTGGGTCCTCAAATGTTACTTCAGTGAGGCTTCCTTCCCTGGCAACCCTTTCAAATTGGAACCTGTCCCAAACAATCCTACACCCCTTCCCTTTTTCTTTTCTCTCCCTTTTTCATCACCACGTCACACACTACGCACCTCCCTTAGCAAAACTGTTTATTGGTCTCTCTTGCTAAAATAGAACGTAAGCTCCACAAGGACAGGGATGCAAGTCTCACTTGCTGGGGTATCCCCAGGTCCTAGAATGGTCCCTAACACACAGCAGGTGCTCAGCAAATGTTGGCTTAGTGGTTGAAACAGAGTCTCCAACATCTCCTCGCTGGCCGTTTGCTGCAGTCAACTAACTGGTTTCCTTGGCTTAATTCTACTCCTTCGCAAAGCACCCCTCACCCTGGCCCTAGTCATCTTCCTAAAATACAATCTCATCCTGTCATACCCCTCGTTTAAAAAAAAAAATGCTTTGATGGTTTACAAATTATAGTCCGTCCTGGCATGCATTCAAGGTGATACATGATCAGGCCCAACCTACTTTTCCAGTCTGGTTTCCTCCTGTCTGGTGCCGGCCCCTTACCACACTCTCAGGTGGAGCCAAACTTTGTTCCTGCTGCTCACTCAGACTGGAATGCCTTTTTCCTGGCTTCTACAGAGGCCACACAGGGCTTCACTTTTTAGTTTCATCCGTGAGATCTAGCCTGAATGTCTTGGCCCCAGTGGGCAGCCACTGCACTAATTTTCTGAGGTCATTCCCTATCTCTTATGTCAGCCTCCACACCAAAGCAAAGTCATCTTTGCTTTGCGGGCAGAAAGTAAATGTCTTTAGATCAAAAATTGGAACTGAGTGGGAAGACCCTCGCAGGCCCAAGAAAACTGAAAAGGATAAGAGCTGGCACATGCGATTGCTTCACTGTCTAGAGAGGTAAGATGGAACCTGCCAAGCAAGGGGAGTGGGGGGCGGGGCGGAGACACTGGCCCAGGGTCTTCCCAGTTAGGCCGTCCCATCAAAGCAGGCACGTTGGGAAGGTGATTTGGGGGGGGGGGGCTCTGTAAATCTCCCTAGTGTTCTCACTGAGATTCTTAAATCTTATTCTTAAATTCTTAAATTCTTTTTTTTTTTTACCTTTTGTATTTTCTGCAATTATTTCAGTTTTACTACCTCCAGTTAAAAGACTTCCTGTAGAGAATGGCTACTGCTCCCTGCTGAGGCTTCGATGTGAGACAATTTCAAAAGGAATTCAAACAATTCCTTTGGTCTAACAGTTCTTCTGTTAGAACTTTAACCAACAAAATACACACGTGCAGAAAGCCTGCTCCAGCCACAATGGCCTTATCACTGTTCCGTGGACACACCAGGCACGGTCCCACCTTAGGGCATCCGTCCCAGTGCCCTCTACATGCAAGACCCTTCTCTGATGTCTGAGCGGCTCACTTCCTTCCCCGCCCTTTGTCAAACCTGTGCTCAAATGTCGCTTTATCTAGGCTTACCCACCATGACTATCTTTTTTAAAATTGGAACCTGCGCCCCCCCCCATACCTGGCCTGAGACCTCTTATTCTGCTTTACTTTTTTACCCACAACACTGATCTTCTAATCATCTCTTCTACTGTATAATTAACTCATTTAGTGTGTCTAGGATTGTCTCCTCACCTGGAATGTAAGGTCCACCAGGGCAAAAATTTGTTTTATTCAGTGACGTATTCTAAATATATTGTTCAGAGCCTCACACATTGAGGTGCTTAGTACTGAGGGGCTTAAAATATTAGTTGCAAAATTAGTGAAAAGAAACACTGCAAATGACCTAAATGCCTATCAATACTAGGCTGATTCAGTGAATTACCACACTAGTACACAGGAGTGAAAAAGACTGAGAAAGAAGGATATACGACGATCTTCAGGATACTTCGTGCAGAAAATTGTGTTTAGCAGGCTACCACTTGTATATAGAAGGAGCTAAATAGGCGTGTGTGTGTGTATAGATATAAACTGAGTATTTCTGGAAGGATGCAAACTGGAGCCTAAAATGGGAGGTATCCTTTCATTATAAATCCGTTTTTTTTTTTTAAGACACGTGCACGTGTTGCTAATTAATGGTAAAACAGAAATGGGAGGGAAGAAATTAAGGAGAGAGAGAAACAAAAAAAACAAGCAGGGTCAAAGCCAATGATTACTTATACAGCTGCCTACAATTCTCCCAAAACTGCACCAGGTCGTAGAAGTCTGTTCCAGAATAAAGCGTTCCAGCAAAGGGTTCAGAAAGGGAGCATCCGACCACCTTAAGACAGCGATAGGAAAGGCTGGGAAGGGCAACAACAGACCGCCCCATTACTCAGGATGGGCTGACTGTGGCAAACACACCAGGGGGAAGACTGGCCCGGGCCTTGGGAGTAGGGCGAAGAGTCACCCCAGAAAGCCAGGACGACACTGGAGCAGGGGAGCTGAGGACTCAGCACGGGGGCGAGGGCAGGGGTGGAACAGAAGAGTGATCCGAGAGGGGCCGGCAACGAGTCAGGTGCACGAGCTCCTGCGCTCCTTGAGGACACGAACTCACGGGAACCGTGGTGTAGGCGGCCCAGGAGGGTCAGGGCGCTCCCGACTCGGGGCTCCGGTTCCCCGGATGCCCAAGGTCCCGCACGCATCGTGAGGCTGCCCAGCGGTCTAGGCGAGGCCGCCGCAGTCTCTGCGTAAACCCACTCACCCCTTGCGGCGGCCGGGAATTCTCGTAACTCCCTCCGCACGGCGTCCAAAGCCGCCTCCGCCATCACGCCGCCGCCGCAGCGAGGCCACGCGTCCGCCCCCTGAAGACTCCGCCCCGGGAGGCCCCGCCCCACCGGGCCCGCCCCCAGCCGCTGAGCCCCGGCCCCCGCCCCCAGCACGCCAGTATTCGGCAAACCCCACCGCCTGAGAAAAGCCGCGCCTTCTCCCGCCTGGCCCATTCGCTGGCATCCTGGAGTTAACAAATGATTGTGTTTATTGACGAGTTCATACATCAGTACAAACGGACGAGTTAAAAACAGCCCCTGCCCTGTGAGACCTGGGGAAGAGGGAAGAGCCACGGTCTGAACAAAATATAAAAGTTATAAATAAGGGGGTGGAGGTTTCAAAACTGGGTCAGGGCAAATCTGGTCGGGTGGGGGGCGGCAGTTGCCGGTGGCCTCAGACATGCAGAAGGGGACGGGCGCCGGCCGACCGCAAGACCCTCTCTCCCACCCGACGCTCGGCTCGGGGTAGGGAAAGGGCGGCCACCTTCTCACAAACCTTAGCGGGAGTGTAGTTCTCTCAAGCGAGGGGCTGGCTGGCTGAGGATCAAGAGGAACCCAGGCCAGAGGGCCAGGCCTGAGCCCTGTTTGGTCTGGGCTGTGGCTAGTGTGCCGGTAGGGGGAGTGGAGTAGACTTCTAAACCCCACAGGGCAGAAGCAGCCCCGCTGGGGTGCGGTTCTTTGGCTGCGGTTCTCTGCACTTTGGCTGTGCAGGTGGTGGTACTACGAAGAGTGGGGCGGGAGAAAATAGGCTTCATCTGTTCTGGTGCACTCCCGCTGATGCAAACAGGAGCTGAGCACTCTACGGAAACCAGTTCCTTTCTAAGTTTCTGCCTAGAGAACCAGCAGGACCCCATGGCCTCTCCATGGGAGCACAGGTTTTCCTGACCTGAATCTTCAGGAAAGCTACCCTGACATACCTAAGGCAGAGGGAAGCAGTAGGGCCCAGAGACACGTGCTCTTCACCCCAACTCAACAACAGCCTCACTACTTGGTCCTAATCTACCTGCCTGCTGTGCCCTATATCCTTCCCCTCACTCCTAACAGCTGCCCTTCTGATTCTAATCTACCCCTCCCCTCTAGCACTTACCTGTCCCACCTACCACCTTTCCAGTGTGTCTCTTGGCCCATTCTGCAGTCCCACGTGCCTCTGCCTCCCCTCAACTTCCAGTCCCCAGGGCGTCCTGGGTGCCCAGCACTGCCTTTGAGGAGGCTCCTTCCACCCAAACCAGAAACCTATGAGCCATCTCATACTGGCTAGGTTGTGGACACCAAAAATTCAGAATTTGGGTTAGTGTGTCCCAGTCCTTTTCGTGCTCCCTAATGGTTCCACATGAGCCAGGGTGGTAAAGCAGGAGTAGCACATGAAGGGAAACCAGGCACATGTCAGCCAGCCAAGTACTCTAGAAATGAACACTCAACTCTGTGTGTGTGTGTGTGTATAGACTCCGTCTTCGTCTGTGGCCAAGGGCCTTAGAAGGTGGGCTGGTGCCCTGTAAACCATGAGGGAAGTTCTAACACTGGCATCACTCAGGATGCAAGGAAAAGGTGGCCTCTGGGTCTAGCAGCCTGCTGGAGATCAGGGTTGGGAAGACAGGGAAGACCAAGGGGCTGGGAAAAGGAGGTCAGGGCTCTATGTTTGCCCAGCAGAGGGCTTTACTGTCCTGCAGCAACATCCCACAGCTGTCTCCACAAGTTCTGGCCAGGAGAAAAAGGGGGACAGAGGGAGAGAGAGAATGCTAGGGCTCTCTTAGAGGGGGCAATGGGAGTGGAATGTGGGGGACTCAGGCCTTGATACCAACTCCAGCCTCCTGATGGCTGGGAATGCCTGGAGGGCTAGAGGGCTTTGCCTTTGGGAACTGCCAGGAACTGGGGAAAACAGCCCCGGCTCTGGCAGCCAGGGGAGTGCAGCTGGTGTGGGAGGGGAAGTGGAGGTAGAGGTGAAGCTCCCGCTGTTGGTTGAAGGGCACTGATACCACACGGCCTCTCACTTCCACCCCACCTAATACCCTGTGTGTGCTCCCCCCCAGGGAGCTGATCCCTGCAGTAATTTCAAATGGCTTCTAAGAAGAGAGGGCCAGCCCTTCGCAACTTCCCCCAGATGGGGCAGGCTGCCCTCCGACTCCTCACAGCACCAAGATGACGAAGATCCAAGACCTATACCCTGCGTGAGCCACTGAAGGGGCTGTGGAGGCAGGAGTTCCAAGAAAGTGAGGCAACAGTCAGGGAAATAAATTAATAAATACGGGGGCCCCATGAGGAGTAGCTGGGAAAGCTGCTTCCCCTCTGAGCACTGATCCCTGCTATCCACTCCAAGCATCCCCTCCAGGTTTTGGGGAGTGGAGCAGGGGCTACAGTCTGGAACGGGGGGCATTCACTTGGAACGGGATTCTGGAACTAGAGTCTGCGTTCCATGCGCCGCTCCACCGCCCGAAGCAGCAGCTCTGAGTATTGCTCTAGGAGGGCCTGTGTCTGCTCAGCCCCCACAGCCCCGGGGCTCCCGCCCGGGCTGCACAACACTGCCCCGGCCAGAGCCTCGAGCTCCTGCCGCACTGAAGAGAAGGTGCTTCTGAGGAGCTGGGTGATGCGACTTTGCTCCACTGAAGGCGTCTTGCAGCCAGCCACCTGCAGCAAGACCCGAGAAGGGAGTCGGAGGGACAGTGGACGGACGTCCTGTCAGTGGATATATAAAGGGAGGGGCCCACCTGGGCCTAGCCTGCCCCCAGAGAAGGCCCTCCTAGACCGTCCACTGTGTCTAGGGTGGCCAAAGTGCTACTGTTGATAATTACACGGGAGCAACAGGCATAAACTGGGATGGTCCTAGAACAAGCCAGGTCCCAGGCAAACTAGGACATAGGGTCTCTCCACAACCCCCCACCCCAATCCAGTCTGAGGAAGTCTCCAGACAGAGAGGACCAGTAGGTGCTCAATCAAGAGGCCTGGTCTGGCCTCTAAGCCCCTTGCCTACTCTGCCCGGGACGTTCTTGCTTGCCCCGCCCGCCCATCAGTGGAAGAGCCTCGTGGTTGTTCTGGATACTCAGCTGGCGCTGCTGACGCGCTACCTCCCCCACGATGGGTGCCCAGCACGTACCAAGTGGTAGAGCCGCACAGCCTGGCGCACATTGCCCTGGAGCTCTGCCACAAGCTGTTCGCACTCCTCCAGGCTCACTACCGGTTCTGGGGGGTGGGGGGACACATACAACTCAATGAGACCCAGTGAAGCTGCCCTTTCAGGCCTCCCCCCGCCCAGGGGCCCTGAGAGCAGGAGATGCCTACCACAGGAGCACACCCCCTCTGCTTGCCTTTGTCTCACTTCCTTCCTTCCCAACACTGCCAGCCCCCCAACACCACACAGAAAACAAGGTCCTGAGGGGAGGGACAGCCCCAGCACAAGAAGCCAGAAGGTGGTGAAGGGGCAAGTAGGTCACAAGGAGGTCATGAAGATTGACAGGAGTGTCTCACCATTGTGGTGTGACTTATGGACCAAGACAGGAGCAGAGACAGGACGAAAACGCCAGAGTCTGGACGCACAGAAATGGGATGGAGCCAGAGAGCAGACAACAGAGACAGGAGAAAGAGGATGGGGTAGGAGATGAGAGCTGGGGAGCTGTGCACACCTGAGTCCTGGCTCAGGGCTGCCCCTGGCCTGGTGCATTCCCCGGGGCTGGGGGTCTTCTCGGGGGGTGGGAGCTGCAAGTCCTCAGGGCCTCGGAGGAGGCTGCTGACCGGCAGCTGCTGGGCACAGGGCCTCTTGGGCCTAGGTGGAGCTGGGCACTCTGTCCTAGGCTTGGGAGGGCCACCCTCCCCCAAACAGCCCCGCCGCTCAGATGTACTGTGAGCCTTTGTGAGGCCCATTGGGGAGCCAGGCTGTTCTGCCTCACCAGGGGCCCTGCCCTTGGTAACAGGTGAGAACGTGGCCAGGGTAGGACGGTCGGGCAGTGGCTTTGGGATGTCCAGGACCAGGTGAGCCCGGCTGGGCAAGGCTAGCTTGCTGAGCGGTGAGACTCGAATGGGAGCAGGAGCCTGAGGTTCGACTGCAAGGCCCAAATTCTCCCCAACAGACACGCTGCGGGAAATCTTGGCCATGGCGCTGGTGGTGGGGTTCTGGTAGGACTGAGGCCAAGATGGACAACCGTCAGCATGCGGCAGGGAGCGCAGGCCCTCCTGGGCATTGGTCTCCCCTGAGAGCAATGGGCCTGGTGGAGCGGCCTCATCTGCAGAGAAGACAGAGATACAGCTCCCTAGGAGTTGCTGTGCCCTGCATACACCCACTAAGGGACACCCAGTGGCAAGCACAGGGGCACATCAGAGTTGAATCAGCCCACCTTCCTCTAGCATGTGCATGCATGCCACACTCCCCGCTCCCTGGACTTGAACCCCCCCAGGCTCCTCACCCTGCGGCACCAGACTCTGCACAGACTGGGCCTTCTGGAGTCCACCTAAGGTGCTGGCTGCAGCCACTTTCTTGGGAGCCCAGCTGCTGTCAGGGTTGAGGCGGCGTCGAGGCAAAAGCACAGGGACTGGCTGCTGGGGGCTGGCATTTCCAGGAGAGGCCTGTGCCTCCGGGGGCGCTCCTGGAGGACTGGCACCGCTGCCTCTCAGGGGCTCACCTGAAGCTGCCAGCACCTGGGCTGTTCTCGCTGTCAGCGCCAGGCTTGAGGAGGATGGAGACAGTTCCCTACTGGGAGGAAATGGGGAAGAAGGCCCAAAGGCTTAGGAGTCCTCCCTGCCAAGATGGGGAGAAGCTCTCACAGCACCAGAAGCTCTGGGCAGGAAGCGCAGGCATGAAGCCAGTAGGCCAGTGGTCCCCAAACGCAGGAGTACATAATGCTGTTTGATGTGGGAAGACAGAAGTCGGCACCCTTGGAGGGAGAAGCCTCGCCTGGGGGCAGGACAAGCCCTCTGGGGAGCACTAGGAGGTCTAGTGAGCCACAGCTCCTAGTCAGAGAGTGAAAGCTGCTGTGGGGAGAGGTACCTGAGCGGGGCCGTCTGCACTTGCAACAGGAATCGTGAAGAGATGCTCTGAGACTCTGTCCTCTCTGGTACCCGGACTGGGGCCCCTACCAAGGTGACAGAAATCATGAACTGAAGCCCTTCCTCACCCCGATTCTACCTCCCCTCGAAGGTAACCCCAGGGCACGGCCTGCCCATGGCCCCTCCCTCTCAGCCAGGCAAGGAGGGAAGGAGGGCAGACGGCCATGACCACATACGGGCCCTCTGACCACACCTGGAGCAGCCCCATGGGCCAGAGTCTCAAAGTGCTGTTTGAGAAACTGCTCCTGGTCTGGGGTATGGGGACTGCCTTCCTGCAGCCCATAGGAGCCAGTGCCTCCCTCTTCTTCCTCCTCTTCCTCATCGCCCTCGGCGGGCTCTTCAAGGTCTGAGGAAATGCCATCCACACTCAGGGGCTCCGTGCTCTCCGAGTCTGGATGTGGGGGGGAGAGAAGCAGCACGCTGCACCCACCCCTCGCCAGAGCCTCCACGGCTGCCTCGGCCCATGGGCCTCCCTCGGAGCCGCAGTCTCACCTCCATTGGGGTGCTCAGGGCTGGAGAGGCGGCTGCTAGTGTCATCTACAGAGCAGGCGCTGTCAGGACTGTGCTTCTCAGGGCCTCTGCTGCCTGGATATACTCTTCCCAGGGTCCCTCGGACTGGAGCCTGCACCTGGAACTCACTTCCAGAAAGGCCAGCCAGGGAAGCAAGAGGCAGTCAGTAGGGGTGAGTGGCCCCACCGGGACACCTGGCTTCTGTCTCCCCGACCCGTGAGTGGGGCTGGGGATGAGGCAGGGGCGAGGGGGCGGGCAAGCCCCAAGGAACCTGGGCCGACCCTCCCCTAACTAAAGGGAAGGGAAGCCTGGGAAAGGAAGACGGCATGGCCCCTGAGGTCTGGTGAGGGAAGGACCCTTGCCTGGTATCCAGGGTGGGGCTGTCACTCGGCTCCGGGTAGACAATACCATCTTCGATGGGTGCAGCCTCCAGATCTTGGGCAAAGACCCCTTCCTCTTGGGACAACAACCGAATAATGTGGGGACAGGAACAGGGTTGGGAAGCCTGAGGCCGAGGGGGCTTTTCATTCTGGGAATACACAAAGGAGCATTACTGAGGTTGCTGGTGTGAGAGAGGTCTGGGAAAAGAGGGGGAAGTGGGCAAGGATCTGGTAGGCGTCAGTTCTGGGAGATGCTGAGTAGTCCAGCTCTGAGGAGAACTCCAGCTAATGTTCTTGAGTTTCTGGAAAGACTATATTCTGTCATACTCCAGACTGCCAACCTCCAGCCACCACTTGATATCATGAGCCCTTTAAGAAACCTGGCCCAGGAAAAAGGGTACCACCCCAGTTCCCAGACCATACCGCTTAGCCAGCTTGACCCTCTGCAGTCCCAGTTACCCATGTGTCACAGGGGCAGGGCAGGCCCAGCTGGCCCAGTGCTCAGGCTCCAGCTGTTGGCATAAGGCTGGTTAAGGCTGCTTGGCGATCTCTAGGTTGCTGGGAGAAAGCTGGCTCACCTGGCTAGCACGTGAGGTCTCAGGGGCCTGCTGACCATGCTTGCCAGGGCAGGATGGGGTCATGGCCAGCAAGTCTTGGCTAGCACCGCGAGGGCTCGGGGCCAGCGTCTCCAGCTGCCGCAGGTCCAGCATGGAGCGGACACTCAGCTCCACACCTGGCTGGGCCCAGCGGCTCCTTCTCCTGGGTCCTTGGTTGGCTGCAGGGGCTGGGGCCAGGAACTCCGCCGTCTCCTGCGCCTGGTGTGAGGCAGGGATTGGGGAGGGGTCACAACCACCAGACAGCATCAGTATCAGCAAACACTCAGATATCACTCATTGTGTGCCATGCGTTTTATGTACATGTACCCACGCCCTTAATCCCCATAGCAACCCTAGAAAGTAGGTATTATCATTATCCCTATTTTTATAGGTGGGAAAACTGAAGTACAGTAGGCTTGAATGAGTTATCGAGTCCTGTGGACAGTTAGGGGCCTGCCTGCTGTTTATAACCCGAGTGGTCTGGCTCCAGAGTTCATGCTCTTAGCTTCACTCTACATCCTGTCTGAGACCTTCTAGTCTCAGCCTTCAACTGGTCTCACGGACCCCTCGGAGCTGGTCATCTCTAAAAAGTCCCTTACTCTGAGGTCCATTCAGAACACCAAGGACAAACCCAATAGTCCAGCCCTGAGCCCTGGTCTGGTCAGAAGTTCCTGAAAGCACCACGCCACCATCATTCCAGGGAGCTGCTACTGACAGTGACGGTGCTGCCATCTGAAGTCTTGACACGGCAAAAGTGAGGGTGGGGCTGCCGTGGGGATGGCTCAGAAAGCCTTGACATTCCTTCTGGCTGCCCTGAAGTAGCCACCCAGTTACTGGTCCTCCCACCACCCCGTCCCTCTAACTAACTGCTCTGGAAGTTCTGCGCTTACCTCCTAACCTGGAGTCTTCAGAACTACAGTTCCTCCAGATGCCTACTCTTTGAACCTTTAAGGTTCTTGAACTTACGTTCTTCTTTTTTTTTTTTAAAAAAAACATTATTTATTTATTAGAGAGAGAGAGCTACTGCACACAGGCACACGGACACAAGGGGAGTGCAGAAGAGAAAGAAGAGGGACAAGCAAATTGTCCTCTGAGCATGGATCCCTAAGTGGGGCCCCACATGGGGCAGGGCTCAATCCCACGACACTGAGATCATGACCTAAGCTGAAACCAAGAGTCAGACGCATAACCAACTGGGCCACCCAGGCACCCCTTGAACTTCAGCTCTAACTCTTTGGCTCAGACAACCCTTGTCTACTGCCCACCTCAACCTGTTCTTTCTTTACACTTCCCTGCCGGCCCCCAGGAAGCTGAACTACTACAGCACTTCTTCTAGCGGTGACTAGACCTTGCAGGCCACCCAACCTGGCGTGCGGGAAGGAGACCCGTGGGCTTCACCACCCCCAACCTGGGATCAGCTGAGGTGCTCAAACTCTCCCACGAGGCCCTTCCTGGGACACAAGGGGTACAGCACAGGCCCGGAGAGCTCTGCCTTCACCTCCCTCCATCCCTGGGAACCTTGGAAGGGCATTTTTAATGATGGTGACTCACCCGACTCATCTCCCAATGGGACAGGCTTCGGGGCAGGGCCGGGCCAGGCACTGAGGCTAGACAGAGACAGGCAGTCAGAGAAAGTGTCTCCTGCCCGCCCAACCACCCAGAGCCCCAGCTCCGTACCAGCTCACCCCGCTGTGTGGCCACAGTGATGCTCTGGCCTCCTCAGCTCACCCTGCTCTCCCCTCCCGTCCCAGAAAGGGCACATCTAGCCACTGTGCCAACTGGTGCCTGTCTCCCCCTCCTCCAGACTTCCACACACCTGGCTCCTTCTTGGTACCCTTGGCAAGGATGGGCAGAGCTGGAAGCTCCTCTTCTTCAGTGCCCTCATCTTCTCCCTCCTTGTCACTGTCTGATGACAGAGCTGGTCCAGGAGACAGCATCGATGGGGCCTCGTGCCTGAGTCCAAGACAAGGAAGGTCACGGGAAGAGGAGATTCAATGCAGGAAGAGGCCAGTGTTCATGGGTCTTCAGGTGTGAAACAGGTGTTGGGGGACCCAGGAGTCAGGAGGTACAGGTGAAAGGCGGGTCCAGAGCAAAAAGGAGGAGCAGTGAAACAGCGAGCAGTCCAGATGCCCACCCACCGCTAGCCCGTATCCACACTCTGTTCTCACCGGTTGGGTCCTGCAGCCCTCTGGGGAGAAGACGGCCCTTGCTGCTTGCCCCCTCGCTGACGCTGGCGCAGCTCAGCCAGACGCTGCCTCATGCTGATGGTCATCTCAGAGCTCAGGCGCCATACAAATATACAGCTAGGTAGAGCCAGAGTTGGGTGAGGGAGAGGTAAGGTAGGACACTAGTTCCCCTTCTCCATGGGCTGGCAGGAGGGCCAAAGCCACTCTCTAGTGCCACATCAGGCCCAGCCAAGAAATACCCCTGCTCAGCCCTACTTCCCAGAGACATCCCTGATATGAAGAGAGAGGAAGGGGCAGTGTATGTGTGTCACAGAGGAAAACTCTGTGTCTCAGGGAAGCTGGCTCCTACTCACCTGTCCCCCGACACTGAGATGAGATGTTTGCAGTCATTACTAAACTTCATTCCAGTGACAATCTCTGTGAGGAACAAAGAATATGGCCTGTGAGCCACCCTAAATTCCTGGCCAAGCTTCTGCCCCAACAATGAAGGTGGATGTTGGTTAGAAGCAAGGGACAGGCAGCTCTGCGTGGTCCTAAGAAACTAAAGGAAGAAAGAGTAAAGTTCCAGCAGTAGAGTACTGGGGCAACGCTCACCTGAGTGGCCGAACATGGTGGCCACGCACTCGCCTGAGGAGAAGTCAAAAATGGAGAGGTTCTTGTCAGAACAGCTGGTGGCGATGTAGATCCCTGAGGGGTCTGTCTGCACCTGAGGAGCGGGACACACAGCTGGCAGAGGACAAGGGAGGCACCAGTCCCTTTCCACCTGGTACCCCAGTGCTTCCCTTTCTGTGGCCTAGGGTCCATCCTCCTGGGCAAGGCCTTACCTTAATCAGAGTGCCGTCCTCACCCTGTGACCCTTTAAACAGCTTCTTCTGCTTCCCACTGCTGATGTTAAAGATCCTGTAAAGAAACGTGCTCTTGGGGTGCCTGGGTGGCTCAGTGGGTTAAAGCCTCTGCCTTCGGCTCAGATCATGATCCCAGGATCCTGGGATCAAGCCCCACACTGGGCTCTCTGCTTAGCGGGGAGCCTGCTTCCCCCCCACTCTCTCTGCCTGCCTCTCTGCCTACTTGTCTCTGTCAAATAAATAAATAAAATCTTAAGAAAGAAAGAAAGAAAGAAAGAAAGAAAGAAAGAAAGAAAGAAAGAAAGAAAGAGAAAAGAAAAGAAAAGAAAAGAAAAGAAAAGAAAAGAAAAGAAAAGAAAAGAAAAGAAAAGAAAGATGCTCTTGTTCACATGAGGAGGAGGCTGTGATCAAGCATGCCCGGGTGGCAGGGTCCCCCAGCATTCGGTCCCAGCCATGTTCTCACTGGGAGCCACGCCCCAACACCAACTCCTGCCTCCTTGGTACAGTGAAGTGCTCTTTCTCTAGGCTCAAGGGGGCACAAGGCCCTGGACAAAAAGATAGAAGTAGGGAGAGAGCTGCCAGGAGCTGACTCCCTGCCCCCGGGCTTGAAGGAATGCGGTCAGACGGTTTTAAAAGGACATGCCCACCGAATATTTCGGTCCTGGCAGCCGATGGCCGTGTACTTCCAGCTGGGCTCCACATCCATGTCATAGAGGGTCGTCTTCCGTACCACGTGGTGTGTCCGTGTAAACTGGACTCCGTCTCCAGACTGCAGGGGTAGAGCGCGTGGCCCCACCAGGCCCAGAAAGCCCCGCTTTTACCTCCCTTCACCTCTTACAACTTCAGCTGGGGGCGGGGTAGGAGCCCCCCACCCCCGCCCCAGTCCAGGAAGCCCAAGACCCTCACCTTCTGTGCCGTGCGGAAGTAAATGCTCTTGTCTGCTCCACAGCTGATCATGCGGACTTGCCCATCGCTGGCTACGGAAGATGGGGGCCTCGCTATTCCCACTGCTCTCACCACAAGGGGCCAGCCCTTCCTCTACTGGCCCGCTACCGAGCTCTCCACATGACCCAGACGACTGATTAAATCAGGATCCTTCCCTCCAAACCTAAGCTTTCCGTGCTCTCCATCCCCAGCCAACTGGTTGGCTCAGGGTCCCCTAGACATAGAGTCTACATTCCATCTGCTTTCCAGTGCGGCCCCAGGCCTCCCAGTGGCTGTCCAACATGCCCCTGTGACGGGCACACCCCTCTCACCGAGCCAGGAGGCTGGTGGCAGTCGGGGTGGGGGTGGAGGATGTTGGTGGTAGGTGGTTAAGATGTGTCCCAACCGCCCTGCCCCCACCTGCGAACTTGACGGCGGTGATGGAGGAGGAGTGTTCGTCCAACGTCTGCTGCAGGCTGTACTCGCGGCCAGCATCTAGGACGTGGATGAGCCGGTCCCGGCTCGCTGATGCCAGCAGCTTCAGACCTGGGGTTCAAAGAACTCCATCAGCCCATGCGTGCCCACAGCAGGCCCCTATCTGGGCCCGGCGGAAGGCCTGCAGGGACCGAGCCCCGTAACCCCAAGCCAGTGAACCACGGAGCAGGAATGGCGCTCTACCCGTGTCTGGCTTGGAGTACTCCAGGCAGAGGATCTCTGAGTCATGGGCCTCCACCTTCAGCATCTCGCTCAGGGACTGCAGCTCGTGCACCCTGCAAAGAGGAGAGGGAGGACATCACGGCCAGGCTACAGGAGGAAAGACTCACCCTCCGTTCTCTGCTATATCTTCCCCCAGGGGCCTGTTTCTAAAATCAAATTTTTATTTATTTTTGAACTTTGAGGCTTAGAGAAAAGTGGCAATGAGTACAGCAATTTCCCATGTTAACGACAGCTCAAATACCAGAACTGGGAAATCGACATTGGTACAATACAGCTAATTCAAGATTTTAGTTTAATTTCACCAGCTTTCCCACAATATCTTTTTTTCTGGATCCAGGATCCTCGCGAGAGTCCAAATTGTACTTAGTTTTTACTTCTCCTTAGTCTCCTATAGTCGGTGACAGTTCTTCAGTCTTTCCTTATCTTTCATGACCTTGATGCTTTTGAGCACTGATTACTCCCCTGTACTCTTTAGAAGAGTACTCATTACTCTGTCCTCTGTACCTCAATTTGAGTCTGCCTGCTGTTTTCCCACAATTGGACTGAATTTACGCATTTTTGGCCAGAAGACCACCGAAACCACTCTCTGTAGCTTCTTAGTGCATCCTATCACAGGCTTCGTGATGCTGTTACGAGGATAGTAAGCTTAATCACTTGGTTAGGATGGTTTCTGCTGGGTTTCTTCCTTGTAAATTTACTATCTTTCCCCTTGTATATAGACACCTTGATCCCCAACCTTTTTGCGCCTATTTTTCTCAAGTTCTGTCCTTTGGGACCTAACCCCCCCCACCAAAGCCTGCGCTGCAGGAGGCCCTTGGTACCACTCCCAGCCTGGCATTACCTAAGCGTGCCTACACGGTCCCCAGAGGCTAGATGCTGTCCATTGGGGCTGATACACACAGAGCGGATGCCCACACGGGGGTCCATCAGGGACCCATCAGCCTTGTCTCCTCCGGGCAGCTCCGTGTCCAGCAGGGCCTGAGTGTTCCCATCCACATAGATGATCTTAATGAGGTCCTAGTGGAGCACGTCAGGAGGAGAGGTGGGTAAGGCAGGCCTGACCCCGTACAGCTGCAAGGGGAGAGGAATGCTGGACAAGATAAAGCCCTGGCTCAAGGAGCCCAGCCAAATCTGAGCTGGAAGATCCATATGGGGAACCAGATCCTGAGAGGGAGGCATGAAGTCTGTGGGGGGGCACTGAGTGGGGAGCAAGTGCCCTATGGCCTCGGGACTCACATTGCTGAGGATGTTTCGGTGCAGGGTGGAGCCGTGCACCCCAGAGCTCTCTGTGTTCCACAGCCGGATGGTATTGTCCGAGGAACAGGTAATAAAGGAACTTGGAGGCAGGCAGGCCTGGTTACTGTCCTTCACTTCAGGGTAGACCTGAGGGGCAGAGGGAACAGAGTCAGATCTCGGGTTAGGGGGGCAGTCCTTTCTCTGCCCGAGGAGATGGACGGGAATGAGATTAAAGAGAGAACGTTGGAAGAACTTAGCGCCGTGTTTGTCACATAGGAATCAAGCTGCCGCTACTGGATACTCTCTGTAATCGCTAAGGGCAAACACCTTAACGAGCTCCTACTACGTTCCAGGCCCTCTTCCACATCTCCCATTTATATCGTTTCATTTAGTTCTCAGGACAAGATTAATCAGGTGCCTCAATTTATAGCTCAGGAAACTGCGGTTCAGCCAAGTTCAGTAACTTGTCCAAGATCATCCAGCCCAGGATGAAGAAAAGCTAAGGTCAGACAAAGGTACAAGGGAAGAAGCCCGAGCTTTAGAAGCACTAAAATTTAAGCTCAGTCCTTGGGACCCATCTGAAGATATGGGGACACACAGGGATGTTGCCGGAGAAACAAGGAGGCAGCAGGAGTACAACTTTATACTCAGGGATCCCCACTTCCCGCCTCACAACAGTACCCCAGAAAACCTGGTCCGTCCCAGGCCAGCCCAGCCCACATACCTCCACACTCCAGACGCAGGAGGAATGATACAGAGCTGAGTACACCTTGCCTACTTTCTTGGGGTCCCTCACATCCCAAACATAAATGCTGTGGTCGTTGTATACACAAGACAGCCACTGATTCGTAGGATCAAAGGTCAAAGCAATGGTGTCTGGATACTTGGCATTGGCCACTCCAGAGAAGAGGCGACTGTGGGGAAGAGGACAGGACAAAGAGTGAGTGGGGAGCTGATGAAATGAAGGACTGGAAAGAATGAAAACCGAAGCCAAACCACAAAGGAAGCAGCAGAGTGAGCCTCTTCAGACCTGCAGGGGGGAGCTGCCTGAGAAAGGAAAAAGCAGCACCTCATAGTTGTCAGCGGGGAGCTGACCTGGCACGCGCTGTTGGACCATCGAGTTCTAGTAAGGAACACAACCCACGTCACGGAACACCACAGTCTGACAAGGGAACTCCGTGGCCGTGACGGAGTGGAACAAACAAGACCCCTCATAACCATGTCCGAGAACACAGACAAACACACAGCACAGCACAAACCACGAACATGACCAAATGTTCCCGGTCCCGTCTGTGGTGACTGGCTACTGCTTCTTCACCCATTACAGCTTTTGCCCCATACCTTCCCTTCTACCTTTGAGATTAAAATTATAAAGATGCCCAACTGTGCAACTGCCCCCACTTTCTGACAGCATCTAACCAGAGCAAACCTTCAATCCCTTGAACCATCCCTAAAATCCTCTACTACAAGCCCAAATCTTATAGTAAAGCCCCGCCTAACACCCCCTTACTGAGACATTCCCTACTTTCCCACGGTGTATGGTCTCCTCTGTGGCCACCAGTATCAGGAAACCCAAATCTGTAGGTCTGCAGAGGTGTTCCTGGCAATCACCGGGGCAGACATACTCTTCACATCGCACAGCCAGGGAAGGCTGGGGCCAGAGGGAGACTCTGAGCGGAGGTAGCCCTCCGCCCTCGGTAGCTCACCTGGCCTCAGTGACGCTGGCAATGTCAGTGCCCAGGGCGTGGGGCCGGGGCAGCGTGCTGAGGAAGTGCAGGTTAGAGGGGTTGAACAGGCGCACGGTGCCATCGGCACAGCCACAGAAGATGTAGTCTTGGCTCACAGAAATACAATGGGCCACAGTGGTCTGCAGGCGGAGGGGCTCGGGTCAGCAAGGGTCCCCCACCCAACCCCTCCACCACAGTTCCCTGCTGAGAGGAGTGCAGCTAAGGCAGAGGCTGCTCTGGCCTGAGCCCCTCAGCTGCTGGCTAGAGATGCCCCTCCCTCCAGCAGCAGGTGGCCAGCAGGCCCACAGCCACGTGCAGTTGGGGGATGGGAGCCAGGGACCCTTCTAAGGCCCAAGAGGTTTTGGCCAAGAGGACAAAGTAAGGAAAAGCCCAGCAGAGGGAAAAGAAACAGCATGAGAAAGACAGGAGGGTCTAGGCCCCACTTACTGTGAAGCTGTCTGTATTCTGAGCAGAAGAGGAAAGCAGGGGAAAGAAAGGCGGGAAGAGAAAGCAGAGAGGAGGGAGTTATACAGATCTTCGTGGGCTGGAACTAGGCCATGCTGGGGCTCCCCCAAACTCCTCTCACCTGTGGTCCCTCCTACACGCCTGAGGGCCTGAGCCCCTGCTTACGGAGCCAGAGGCATCCGATCTCCCCTGATCTGACCCCCGGGCAGCCAGCCCCGACCCATTGACCCATGGCCAGAGGTGCTTACTCTCAGCTCCACCCACTTATCCAAAAGCCTCCTGTCGCTGAACTCGCACAGCAACCCTGAGGACGTGATGCAGAAGGTGCTGTCAGCCTTCTTCCCTCGGCCACAGGCCACGTCGGTGAACAGGTTGTTGCGCAGCTCCCCCAGCAGCCCCGAGCGACCCAGCAGAGGCACGGTGGCATTCACCTGTGGAGACACAGCACTCTTGCTGCCCATCATCCACCCTGGAGCCTGTCCCGGCACATGAGGCCCTGAGGGGAGGGAGGAAAAGGGGCAAGCCCCCCGGCTTGCTCTTTGAGACGCTCCCTCAGCCCAGATAGCATCTGGCTCACCCAGAACTTCTGTACGGCTACTGAGTGAGTGGAGGGGGCCCCATGTGGAACAGGGTCTCCTGGGGAGGGCCAAGCAGGCTCTGGCCCTGGGGCTACTTCTGGCCGCATCAGCTCACCTTTGAGGTCTTACTGTCATCGAGGTACCAGAATTTGATGTGCCGGTTGCCTGCGGTGACGAAGTAGCTGCAATCTTCCGAGAAGGACACCGCTGTCACCCGACTGGACACCTTGTTGGAGGCCACCACAATGTTTTTCTGGAGGGAAAGCCAAAGACAGAATCAAAATTCTGCCCCTTGGGGCTAAGAAGAGGCTCAGAGGACGGCGGAAGGGTTGGATAGGCTGTGTACTTTTAAAAATGTTCCTTTCCAAGATATTTTGGTCAGAAAAAGAAGGGAGAGAGAAGAATTTCTTTCTGGAGAAGTCAAAGAGATTCATTTCCTTGGGAGGCCCCCCGAGACATAAAACTAGCCCCTTTTTACCAGCACACTTGGCTACACAGTTGCTTTTCTGTGCTTCAGGCTCTTTTCTAGAACAAGACTGAGATCAGCAGAGTGGGGGGAAGGGGCTCCCATCAGCTGTGTCCTGGCTCCCCAACTGGCCCGTGACCGCCCACCATGAGGCTGTCAGGCCACCCCAGCCAGTCCACTCACCTTCCAGGCCCAGACGTTGACAATCATGTCATGCTGGTAGCCCACGGAGACGATGTACTTGGCGCTGGGGGAGAAGGCCACACAAGCCACCCCGTACTTATGCTCCTGCAGCTCCGCCACCTGGCTCTGCTCGGCCACGTCCCAGACACGCACGGCAGGCATGTGCCCACTCTGCAGGGCGACAAGAACCGGAAGTGAGGGCCGAGGCATGCAGCTTCCCCGAGCCTTTCAGAGTGGGGGCCCTTGCCTCCCCAACAACTACGTACAATCTCTCTAATGACCCTTGGCCGAGAGTCAGGAGCAGAGTGCTATATGGAGCCAAGGGTAAAAATCAAAACAAAACAAAAACCGAAACAAAAAAACATGATCTCTATCTCAGGGCCATAATGATTATCCAGGAGGAGACGACCCCAGATTTTGTTCCACATCTCTGTATCCGTGTGTGCACCTGTGTGTTTGCTCGAAATTCCTCGAGTGATTCTGATGGGCCTGCAGGGTTGAGAACTGCTCCCACTCAGGCCTATTTGGGCTCCCCAGGGGGGCTCCGGGCAAACCTGAGAAAGCAGAGGCATTCCCCATGTGCCCAGCAGGGGGCCTCCGGGGACCAGGAACATTTAAGACCGTGGTTTTAAAGCCTGCTTCCCAAATGGGCAGAATCAACCAGTGGGAACTTGTAAGAAATGCAGATTTTGGGGTCCCATCTCAGACCTAGAATCAGAAATCCTAGGAGGCCTGGCCATGTGCGCTTCACCAAGCAATCCAGGCAATTCTGGAGCTCACTAAAGCTTAAGAACTATTGTTTTCTCAGGTAGAGCAAAAACTAGGGTTTAGCATCTGTTCAGGAAGCCAGAGAGGCAGCAGCCCTCACCAGGCCTAGGACTGGAGCCCTCTGCTGAGGCTAGGCCACCCCCCCACCCCCAGAGGACTGCAGCCCCCTTCTCTCACTCACCTCTCCGGTGACCAAGTACTTGCCATCGGGAGAGAAGGCAAGCGCAGTGATGGTTTTCCTGCAGGGCAAAAGGGGGCCTCAGAGGGGCACTGACCGCCTGGCCTAAGCCCAGCTCCCACAGAGTCCACTCAAAAGGCAAGACCAGCAGACGCCAACCTCCATGTGTCATTTTGCTCTCTGGTCCTGGGGCCCAAGCAGGCCCCAGACCGCAGAGCCACAACGCCCCAGGCAGTGCCTTTCTCACAGCTCCCCAGAAAAGGAGGTCCTCCCCAAGGCACAGACCCTTTTACCTGGAACTGTTGAGGATGTGGTGCTGTTTGTGTTTCCGGGGATTGAACAGCACGACCACACACCTGGGGAGATGAGTGAGACAAGAGACTTAGCCCCAGACCACAGCTCCCCTAGGAGCATCGAGGCCACCTGGAAATTCCGGTCACTCAGCACCGAGAGCTGCCTAGAGAGAGTGCAGAGGGACCCTCTGCTTGCCACCGAGGGCAAATGACGGCTTTCTGGCAACCCACTTTTCTGACTTCCCTTTCCCACCCACCAGGACCTATCTCTGCGGCCCCGTGAGCACAAAGGCTCCCTGGAAGCCTATCCTGCCGGGTCCCTAAGCACCAACAACATTTCTGGTCATACCCACAAAGGGCAGCGAGGGCTCAGGCCTCCCCACAGCCCTTGCCCAGAGCCCAGGAAGAGGTGCAGGAAGGAAGAGTCCATGTGATTTGATAAAGGTTGGCCACAGGTGAGCAGCCCAGTTCACAGGCTTGGAGCCACATGTCTGACAAGTGTTTGTGCTCCAAGGAGGGGTGAGGCCTCTCCTGGGTGTGCCCATGTGTGTACCTGGTAGGAGCCCACCCCACACTCTCTGTGCCTCAGATGAGGCAGGGGGTGGGAGGCAGGAGGCTGAAGGTTCAGGGAGGCTCAGTGAGACTCGAATCTCAGTGAGACTCTTGGGCAGAGAGAGCCCAAGAGGACCTGGGGAGGCCTGTTGAGTGTCTTGGAACTCCTGGGCCCTGCCCTGAGAATCCCCGGCCCCAGCAAGCCCGAGAAGGGTCCTCCAGACTGCCAGAAGACAATCAGAGCAGAGAAGGGTGGGAGGACCCTCTCCAACCAGGCAGCATGGGTGGACAGGATCAGGCTCAGACAGACTTTCCAGAGGCAGTTCCAGGAGGAGGCCGGGCAGTAGGAATCAAGGCAGGAAGCCCAAAGCTGTGGCCAGGCAGTGTTCTCCCATAGGCTCAGTGGCTGTCAGCAGGCCTGGGCCCATTGCCCCTTCTGCCTCATTTCATTAGTACTGTAGGTAGCTGACAGGAGCAAGCGTGGGGCCTGCTATGCCAGGTCAGGGGATGGGGACAGAATGAGCAGAGAGTGGCATCCCCAGACCAGCCTTGTTTAATGGGAAGCCCAGTACCTGCTAAAGCTTGAAGCAAAGGCAAGTACAGCTGCTGGTGAGCGCTTAGCTCCACGGAACATTTCAATACGCACATTCCACAGGTGATCTCTGGGGACCCAGGCATCTCTGAGGCATACTAGGTATGCCCAGAACTGCCAGGCTGAGCAACAAACAGCCTTGGAATTCCTGAGTCACATCTTCTCCTCTAAGCCCTCCCCAGATCTGCCCTCAGTTTCCTCTCTCCTTCACTCTCCGTCTGCTCATCTTTCCTTGTTCCCCTTTCTCATCTCCCTTCTCTCCTTACACCAACTTCTAGTCTCCTGCTTCCCTTACACATACGACAAAAGTTAGATGGCCTTGGGAACCCCGTGCCTCATCACTCTCCTTCCCTGTTCCCAAACACACCACACACACACATACACACACCCCCATGCACACCTGCCCAGCTTCTGTTAGGGGCAGTCCGGGGTACAGGGAGCCTAATTCCTCCAAACAGACAGACTCAAAGAACCTTAGAGCTGGAAGGAAGGATGGAAGGAATTAAATGCAATGTGCTAGGTGACTTTAAAATCACTGAGTCCAACCCTCCAGAACTTTGAGATGAGGAGGCCTAGGCTCAGAAAGGTCCCAGAAAGAATACAGCCAGGACTCCCAGGCCTCCTGCTTCCAGTGTACTTTACATCAAACACACCTGCATGTCTGATCTGATCACAACACTCCTGGAAGATGAGCCCTGGGGCTTCCAAAACCAAACTCCTTCAAGTACCCATGAAGGCCCTGGGTTGTATGACCCCAACCCACCCTCCAGCTTCACCCTGAACCATGCTCCAACGTCATTCTTTCACTCTTTTTAATCTCCCATGCTCCTTTGCAGAACTATTTCCCTTATCTAGAACATTCTTCTCTCCCTTTTCCAATTAGTTCATCTTTAGTCCCCAAATGGTCTCAGTAGATGCTCTCATAGCAAGCATGGCATATCAATCTTGTAACATTTATCACAGCTGTAATTTTCCATTATTTTTGATGGCCCTCCCACCAGACTGTGCCTTTCACGAGAACAGTCTCCTGGGCCCGGCAGAAGCTGGCCCACTGCAGTTGTTCAAGAAGGATGTGAATGGGATAGCGACTCCCTTAGTCCACTAGCTTGGTCCTGTGCGGCATCAGTAGGCCCAGCCCCCCCTGCTCCACGCCCCACCTATCTTCTATGGACAGAGGGACTGAGGACATCTGGATTCTCAGAGGTAGAGTTGGGGCGGTCGGGATGCTGTGGTCTTTGGAGGCAGAGACCAGGGTCTGAGCCTTTGTTCCGCCACGAACAACTCTGCGACCCTAGTAAGGCACAAGCATGTCGACTTCTCTGTAATAAAGGATGGACACTCAGATCTAGCTCACAGGGCTTCTGTGAAGATTAAATGATTTTTTTCTGACACATAGTAGGAGCCAAACAAATGGCAATTCTTAAATTATTACTCTTTAAGCATGGAAAGGAGGCTGCAAGGGGGCTCCTGGCGGTGGGCAACGAGGTGTTAAGGGACTGTGTCTGGTTCTTCCTCTGGAAGAATGGAGGGAAGTCCTGTTAGGTTCTCAGCAATGGTAAAAACTTCAAAGGAGGCTTTATTTTTTTGTTCTGGGAAGGCAGCCAGGAAAGGAGAGCTTGATTAAGCTTGGGGAAAGAAAACAGCCACATCTCCATTCACTGAAGTCATGACAAGATTGGAAGGTAGCAAGGAAGGGATGGGGGAAATGTGGAGAGAGAAACCCCCTCAAATGTCTAAGAGAGCAGTGCAGAGGCATGGAAGGAAACAGAAGTGCCATCTCCTGGCTAAGCTAGAAAGCACCACACAAGAGTTTCAGTGCACCCCGAACATGAAGGTTTCCGGTTACTTTAGCAAGCTGTCCTCAGCTCTGCACACAGTGGGGTTCAGTAACAAGAGTTAGCATTTGTAAGCACTTTCTAGGTAGCAGGCACTCTGCCAAGCAGCCTTGATGTCTGGTTTTAGCTAATCCTTACAGCAACCTTGTGACTCTTAGTACAATTATCCCCAATTCAGAGACAGAGAACCAAGATCATAGAACCAAGAACCAAGAGCAGTGAGGTAACTGGGTCAAGGCCACTCAGCTAAAGCCACAGAGAGAGTCAGGATTCCAGAAGCAGTGCTCTCAGGGATCTGGAGTGGAGTGAATTGAGGAAAGTGAAGTTGGAGATGAGAGACATGAAATGCAGCTGACCTAACGTGTGCAGGGTGCCTGGCTGGGGAGCCTGTGAGAAGAAGGGAAAGCTGACTGGAGCACTTTGAACGGAAAAGGATTTGGGCCACAAGATTTTTGGAAATCAGGACAGGGCAGATGAAAACTATAGCAGTTACAGTTACGAGTTCATAAATTTAGATATTTAGATTTTAATACTTTAGTCAGGTGTGCCTGGGTGGCTCAGTGGGTTAAAGCCTCTGCCTTCAGCTCGGGTCATGATCCCAGGGTCCTGGGATCGAGCCCTCATTGGGCTCTCTGCTCAACAGGGAGCCTGCTTCCCCCCGACCCCTCTACCTGCATCTCTGCCTACTTACGATCTCTGTCAAATAAAGAAATAAAATCTTAAAAAAATATATATTTTAGTCAGTGTGGGAAAAAAATCACACACACACACATACACACACCCGCTTGCCACCATGTTTTCTAACTTTCTTGGTATCTGGGTCGATCTGTGGAAAAGGCCCGTCTCTGCAGGCTCATCTCTCCCCAGTGACTTCCAGCGTGAGCGGTTACAGGTTACCCAGCTTTCTCATCAGCTCCACAAAAACCATGGCGAAGGGCTTCGGCTGAGAGCTGCTCTGACTCAACGCAACCCGACACATATTCCAGTCGGCCGCACTCCAAATCCAGGAAAAGTAGGTGATGAGGGCTCTATGATATGCTTGTGAGTTTTCCTTTAAGCCCGTCATCCCAAAGCAGCATTGTGACTTTCCAAAGGCGGTGCATCAGGCTGCTTAAAACACTGTCCAGGGGCGCTTGGGTGGCTCAGTGGGTTGGGCCTCTGCCTTCGGCTCAGGTCATGATCCTGGGGTCCTGGGATCGAGCCCCGTGTCAGGCTCTCTGCTCTGCGGGGAGCCTGCTTCCCCCTCCCCCTCTGCCTGCCTCTCTGCCTACTTGTGATCTCTCTCTCTCTCTCTCTCTCTGTCAAATAAATAAATAAAATCTTAAAAAAAAACACAAAAACACTGTCCAAATCTCCCCATACTCACTCTGAGTCTTGCTGGACCACAGCACCTTGTTTCCTCCTCCTGGTAAGTGCAGCTCCATCGGGGGAGGAGGAAGGAGAGCAGTGTGTGTGTATGTAAAAATACAGCACAGATAGAGAGGGAGATGACCAGCTGTGAGGCAACCCTTCCTTTCTCTAACACTGTCTCCCCCCAACCCCCAACATAGCCTGGAAAGTTCTCAGGCATGGCATGGAGGAGTTACACAAAGGAGAGAAATGTGCAAAGGGAGAGGAACACACAGAGATATACCCCTAAGCTGAAATTTTTACTTTTAATTATTCAGATATGGAAACCTCTCCATAGAGAGGAAGAGGAAGAAAGAGACCAACCCCTGGTCACAGCTCCACTTGTGTGGAGAGTAATGCAGGTGCCAAAGGGAGGGTAGAACTTGGCACAGATATCCAAGGTTCCCACTGTGCCCCACTGGCTGAGGTCCTCGCAAGAGAAGAGAACTCAACGACACTGATGTGGGAGCCACATCAGTCTTCTGTGACCCTGAGCAAGCTCCCCAGTCTACAGGGAGTAGAGGGCGGGGTGCAGCCTGCATCAGTCTTTGGCCCTCCGCCTTGGCCTCCGGGGCCCTTGACCTCGCCCAGCACAGCAGGCAGGCATCTGCACGTGTGCCCTTACAGCACTGCTGGCGGCAAACCACCACAAGGGCTAGGCTGGCCGAACCAGCTGAGTCCCGTAATTCTGAACC